CTCAGCCTTGCAACACAAAGCAGAGGGTCACCACTCAACACACCTTTGGGACGCTTCTTCCTCCGAGGAGTTGGGCAAAGGCCCCTACAGGGACCTCGGCTGCCCGGACTCTTGGTGAGGGGCTGCGTCAGGGCGGCTGTGCCTTCTGGGCTCTGCTGAAGAGCTTCACAATCACTCGCTGTCAGGCGGAGTTGCTTGAAAGATCTCACTGACCCAGAAGGAAAAACGAGAGAAAAATGGCATTGGATGACAGAAGACTTACTAGTGAAAGAGAAAAACTGGGTCCATTGCAAACCCAGACAGAGAGAGAGAGAGAGATAGATGATAGATGGATGGATGGATGGATGGATGGATGGATGGATGGATGGATGGATGGATGGATGGATAGATAGATAGATAGATAGATAGATAGATAGATAGATAGATAGATAGATAGATAGATAGATAGATAGATAGATAGATAGATAGATAGATAGATAGATAGATAGACAGACAGACAGACAGACAGACAGACACAGATGATAATGGCAGGCAGGCAGGTAGGCAACACAGACACAGATGATAGAGACAAGAGAGAGAGAGAGAGACAGACAGAGAGACAACACGGACACAGATGATAATGGCAGGCAGGCAGGCAACACAGACACAGATGATAGAGACATGATAGATAGATAGATAGATAGATAGATAGATAGATAGATAGATAGATAGATAGATAGATAGATAGATAGATAGATAGATAGATAGATAGATAGATAGATAGGGAGGGCATACAGACAACACAGACACAGATGATAGAGACATTATAGATGGATGTAAATGTAGACAGACAGGTAGATAAAAATAGATAGAGGGAGAAGGAGAGAGAGAGAGAGAGAGAGAGAGAGAGAGAGAGAGAGAGAGAATGGTTAAAGTGCTTTAACCGTAGACCAAACGCACACACACACACACATCACAAAGATTTATATTTAATATATATAACTACTGTATCTCCGTGCAAACGAGTGGCTGGAGAAACCTGAAAAGCAAATCTGATAACCTTTTTGGTCATTTTGTACTGTGAACATACTGTCACAGGTTAAAAATGAAAATCTGCTGCCTGCTCTTAAAAGAATACACACACACACTAATCACTGTCCATTTTGAATACATAGCAGAAACAGGAAAGTGGGAAAAACTAAACATAATTCAATAATAATGAAACTAAAAGTAAACAAATGCATAGGCATTCAGTTGGGTGCCCAGGCTGACATTTTAGTCTAAGGAGATGCTGGTTTGTCTGTTTAACTTATATGCTGCCCACCTCACTATCCCAGGAGACTCGGTGGGGGGTGGGGGTTAACAGTAATACATCTACATACATGCATATATATCCTACAGTCATATATAAATATGTGTTATATAAAACTACACTTAGTCCAAAAAGGCAGTTGGATAAATCCGATAAATCAATCTGATAACTTTTTTGTCATTTTTTTACTGTGAACATACTGCCACACATTAAAAAATGAAATTGTTGCCCACTCTTAAAAGAATACATACCCATACCTATACATGCACACACATATACACACATGCATACATACACACACACACAGAAAACACTGTCCATTTTGAATACATGCAGAAAGAGGAAAGTTGAGAAAAACTACATAAATAACTAAACTAAGCATAAATAAATGCCTAGGCGTTCAATTGGGTGCCCAGGTTGACATTTCAGGGTAAATGAGATTTTAATTTCCCATCACTGCCATTAAGGCAGACCCCCCCAAACCAGCCCTTCCTTTTAAGAGGCACAGCCACGCCTTAAGCCGGGCTTTCTCAACCTTGGCAACCTTTAAGGGGGGTGGACTCCCACTCCCAGAATCCCCCAGCCTGCATGCAGGGGATGATAGGACCTGTAACACCCCCAATCTCTGGAGGGCGCCAGGTTGACGATGGTCGGCTTTGCAACTGACTTTTTTTTTCCTCCCCCCCAAAAAGCAATTAAATTATTGTTTTTCCCCAAAATCCGGTGGGATAATAGTTCCTTTCCCAAGAATCCCATTAGCAATTAATTACATTTTGAAGCTAAATTTGGGACTTACTTTGATCTGCTCCGCCTAAGTTGCAAACAGCCACCGCTCCCCTCTTGCACGCGCATCGCAACTTGCGCTCCGCTGCGCGCAATCTAACTTGCTTGACACTTCAGCCAACGAAACCCCGCCTCCTGCCCCTCCCTCCCTCCCCCCCCCGACTGATGTGTCTCTGCCGACCTATCACAGGGCTGGCTCCATATTGCTCCTCTTTCTTCAAAGCGGAAGAGTTGCCCGCTGCGGACCAATGAAACGTCGCGCGCAATTTGACGGGCACTCCCCTCCCTAAAGAGGTCCAGAAAAAAAACGACAAGCGTTGAGTACCACGCAGCACTCACTTCCGGTTCTCCCACGCCCTTGCCGGTAGTGGTGGTGGGGGGAAAAGGCTGAATTCACCTCTTTCTGGCTTGTCAAAGTCTCCTTTGAGGTCTGCCCCAGAGCATTCTGGGAGAATAAAATGCTCTCTGATATGACTTCGCCCATGGTTTGTGCCCCGATATCAACTGGGTCCATTACAGGCAGTCCTCGACTTGACGACCAAAAATTGAGCCCCCCCCAAATTTTGTTGCTAAGTGAAACATTTGTTAAGTGGGTTTTGCCTCATTTTGCGACCTTGATTGCCACAGATGTTAAGCGAGTCGCTGCAGTTGTTAAGTTAGCCCCACGGTTGTTAAGTGAATCCGGATTCCCCCATTGACTCTGCTTGTCCGAAGGTCGCAAAAGGGGATCACGTGACCCAGGGACACTGCCACCGTGGTAAATATGACCCAGTTGCAGAGCATCCAAATTTTGATCATGTGACCGTGGGGATGCTGCAAGGGTCGTAAGTGTGAAAAAATGATGGGCGCACTGGCACACCTTAAAAATGAAAATCTGTTGCCTGCTCTCCAAAGAAAGTATCTACCTATAGCCATACATTTATTTATTTATTTATTTATTTATTGTCATTGTATGTGCGTACATAGTATACATATACAACGAACATAACACACAAATACACATGCTAGAAACATATAGGTATATAACTATGTCCATAGATAGATTAGGTCGATAGATTAGATCGATAGATTAGATTGATTAATCAATTAGATAGATTAGATTTAATAGATAGATTAGATTTAATAGATAATAATAATAATAATAATAATAATAATAATAATAATAATAATAATAATAATAATAATAATAATAATAATAAAGTTGGAAGGGACCTTGGAAGTCATAGATAGATAGATAGATAGATAGATAGATAGATAGATAGATAGATAGATAGATTAGATTTAATAGATTAGATAGGTTAGATAGATAAGATTGATTAGATTGATTAGATAGATAGATAGATAGATTAGATTTAATAGATTAGATAGGTTAGATAGATAAGATTGATTAGATTGATTAGATAGATTGATTAGATTACATAGATTAGATAGATTAGATTTAATAGATAGATTAGATTTAACAGATAGTTTAAATTTAATAGATTAGATTTAATAGATAAATTAGATTTAATAGATTAGATTTAATAGATAGATTAGATAGGTTAGATAGATAAGATTAGATATATTGATTAGATATATTGATTAGATAAATTAGATATATTGATTAGATAAATTAGATAGATTAGATAAATAGACAAATATAGATATATAGACAGATAGATATACACACGTACACACACACATATATATACATATAAATTACTATATTACACACATATATAAATATATAAATATAAATTACTATCCATACATATCAGAAAGAGGAAGCTTGAGAATTCACAAGGCTAATACTATATGGAACAAAACTGTGATCGAATCTGGATGTTCTGCTTTGGATACCACAAAGCCCCCCCCCCTCCCAGAAGGTAACAAGGAAAACAGGTCGTAAAGAGGATGTGTAGAGTCCCAGAAAAATCCTGCGGACCCCGCCCATGCCCTGTCCTGGATAGAAGGGAGTGAACTACCGATAATCTTTTCTGCTGTCCTTACCACTCTCTGCACTGCCTTCCTGTCTGAAGCAGTAATGCTTCCAAATGCTGTATGACAGGATGCTCTCGATCGTCCCTCTTTAGAGAGTGGTAAGGACAGGGGAAGGAAGATGTGTTTTTCTCATCCTGTGACGCAGAAAATGTGGGGGCTGCTGTGTCCGCTATCACCAGTGTCTTGCTGTTGAGAGACCAAGCTAGTCTACTCATTAGCTGCACACCCAGAAACTTGATGCTGCTAACCACCTCCAGAGGTGAATCAGCAATACACAGAGGAATGTAGCTGTACCTGCCTGTTCTGAAATCGACAATGATCTCTTTCGTTTTTTAATAACAAATCTGTTTTCCTTGAAATCCCGGACGAGATGGCCCCCAGAGGTCGGAGGGGGAATTTCATCCTTAAATCATCTAAAAATTAATATATTTCAAGCTTGACGATTTTAAGTTCTGTTGACATCAACTCCCAGAATTCCCCAGCCAACCTGCTTAAGATATGTGGACTTAAACTCCCAAAATTCCCTAGCCACCACACATACCAAGCGATGCTGACCAAATTTTAATGTGTTTGTCTCTCTGCTTCCTGAAAGAAGTTATCCCAGGGAGAAAAAAAATTGGGCTCGTCCGGGATTTGAACCCGGGACCTCTCGCACCCTAAGCGAGAATCATACCCCTAGACCAACGAGCCAGCTGTTTCAGATGCCTTCCAGATGTTTCTTTTAGACAGTCTGCTAATTAGAGGCTCAGAT